ATATATAAATACATATTCCTAGCATATATACATATACAAATATATATATTTCGGTTCTTCCAAAATATTGTATTCTTCAGTTGTCCGCACGTTCGTTTGTGCGCTCGTCTTCACGTTTGTTGTGTGGCCGACCGAGCGCAGAGACTCGAGAAATACAGAAGAAAAAAAAAAAGAAGCGGAATGGAAAATATATATAAAATACAAAATAAAAAGAGGCTCAGCTAGCGATAAACAAAATAGGAACAAATAAAAATCAAACAAATTGCAAGTCCATCAAATCCGAGGCAAAGTGACAAATCTCGCAGCGTACAACGCGGCGTATACGTGTTGCAATTACCCAGTGCCAAGTGAAAAGTGCAAAAGAGTTCTGTTATTTTATTTTCCATTTTTTTTTTCTCAATTTTTTTTTTTTTCCAACTGAAATCATTTGCGTGAAAGTAAGAAAGGAAGAAGTGTACCAAAGTGAAGCCGGACTACGTGCGAGGCTCGGATGACGTCACAAGCACACAGACACAGACACAATACATATATGTATATAGATATATGTACATATGTAGCTGTATAGATACATATTTAAATGACTGCCAGAGCCGCCGCAACGGCCGCACAATCATCCAGTCAATTTGCGCTGTGTTTTGCGGGGCATTAAAACAAAAGCATTTCACTACGAAATATTTATTGTTGTGTCTACATACGCCTCTCTGCCTCTATCTCTCTGTGTGTGTGTGTGTGAGTGTGTGTCTGTGTGGAATGTGTTTATAGTAGCCGACGCTGTTGCCATCGAAGTTGCCGCCAACCCAGCCCGATTCCGATTCCGATTCCAATTCCAATTTCGATTCAGTTTCAATCCCATCCCAGTCTACACATCTCTCCAGAGCACTGTTTACCGCAACTGAATCGATTCATTGCTGAACTTGACACATGCTCCATATGCATATACATATATCTCGGGTAAAGCTCATTTATTTATTTATTTATTTATTTATTTATTTAGTTGCTTGTTTAGGAATTTGTATTATTAATATTAGTTTATTCCTTAGTAACTCTTTGCGTAGAAATAGTTCTTTGACGTATTCGACTTGGACATTTATTATTAACTTTGAAACCGATCTGTATGATTGAGTAATTCGGATTTTGGATCTGGGAGAATTTGTTTTAAAATTAGTAAAATTGTTTGTCTTGCTTCAATCGGCCTTCTCCTTCTTCATTTGTAGCTAAGGACAGTACAGAAATCGTTCTTGGGATAAAATCATTGCATGGAAACTTCTCTTTGTATTTATAGTCGATCTACATAATTGATCCCTTTAAAATATTTCTTGTTTACCTTATAAAAATGATATATTAAAATTATATATTATAATTATACATATATAGCTGTACATATATACTAAAAAGCGTTCTAGTTGCTTGCCTATCGACCTACCTTGACCTATTGAAAACGAATGCATAGCAGAAGAAAAGGTTCACTCGATTAAGGATATAATCCAAGTATTGGATTATAAATAAATATACAGTTCTAGGCACTTGAGCTATAGGTTAGTCAAATGCTTAGCTATTCGGTTGGAAAACTGATTTTTATTTATTTCAAAGTATTAAATAGATAATCGAAAATTCCGAATCTGTACACGTTGAGTTGATAAGACTACCTTACATAAATACAGACATAAACTCTCTTGAATTGCGGTCCAAATATATTCATGATTCACGATCCTTAAGAAATCAGTATTTCAGTTTATTTCCAAGAATATATAGTTAATGAAGATAGTGTAAATATTCAGTTTATGAATACTTAATCAAAATTATGAAATACCAACTACATAAAACTTCACAAGATTTCGCTAGATATTTCTATTGTTGGATAGCCTTGAGACACTTATAGATTGTAATAAAAAAATGTGTTAAAAAAGTAATGCCAATGCCAAGCAGAAGATGCGAGAGAAGACTACAACAACAACAACAGCAACAAAAAAGCAACCAATAAAAAATATGTTTAAGTATTCAGCTTAGATCTGGCCAAAAGACTTTTAGCTATATACAGTTGGCTATAATAAAGAATGGCATTTAATGACTATATGCAGATGTACATATGTATAGCACATCGATTATATTAGGTATATAGAAGAAGAAGAAGAAGAGGTAGATCTCTTGGGCATGTCTTTTAGTCACTCCAATTTGCTGCGACTCATCGCATGCCAGCTCATGCGCCAGAAGCTATGCAACGAATTGCGAGTGCCATGCCTCCGTCTACCCCGCTCCGACGAAGCGAGAGGCCGCTCCGTTAAGTGTTTTACTAATTACTAAAAGCAAAAGCCGAGCACACGCATAGTTTTGGCACTTTTTATTACTATTTTTTTTTTTTTGGTTTTGGTTTTAATCATATCCGGCAATCAATTGGCACGCAATCTCACACAAATCGCCACTTAATTCTATTTATATTGAGCAGCGGCAGCGGCAGCAACAATTTCGTATGAATCGCAAACTTATTTTTGGTGGCACGAACAAAAATCAAAAATAAATGAATAACAACAGCAACAACAACAGCAAGAGCAACATTCATAGATTTAAACGACGACGACGATTCATCAGAGGCCCACAACATGAGCTGGTGGAATCCCTAAAGCAAATGCAACAACAATCAAGTGTGTGTGTGTGTGTGTGTGTGAATGCCCTTCAAGGCAAAAGCGTGCAAATACAGTTCGGGTTATAAATACATATATTCGGAATATACATACATAAATATACATATGAATGTATATATAAATGAGCATTCAAGCAAAACAAAATGCCGTCAAATATCGCAACTTAAATTTTGTTTGTTTTGTTTTTAATTTGATTCTCATTTAATTTTCTTGTTGCTCTTGTGCAATTTCTCAAATGAACTTCCCCAGAAATTGGACAGCCAACAGCATTTAATTAGAATCGAGCACATAAACAATAACATTTGATACATTTACTCGAACAACAACAGCAACAACAACAACTGGCTGTTGAATCAATTGTTTATCGAATGATACATTCATCCCATTCAAGACATAGCTCAGATTGAATAGTTTATGCACAGAGTGTGAGCGTGTGTGCGTGTGTGTGGGTGCATCAATCACAGCCTGATCGAGCGAACAGTCAGACTATCGATCATTATTGGAATATGTACGTGACAAAGTGCCCTTACTATTTGAAGGCCTTGCCCACAGACACTTTGTAAACACACACATTTATCAGAGATATACATACATATATACATAATATATAGAGAGAGAGTGAGATAGAGAGCGACGATTGGACATTTCCTGCCTCTAGGCACGATCCCATTTGCCGCATGAGCAAGCACCGCTGCTGCTGCTTCATGTTTTCCACATTTTCTACATACATATATTCACAGGAAACTCATATAGACTTGAGCTAATTTCAAGATTTATTTAGGTTTCGGTAATTTATTGAGTTCCCTCTCGGAGGAAGTGCGAATGCAATAATTTATAAACTTTATTATGGTCAGTTTTGTAGAAGACAAGACAAGAAAGCGCAGTTAACCTAACGGAACTGCAAAACCTGGCTACATATTTCGAATGACCAGGCGCAGGCATCTTAAGGTAACTGCAGAAATGCAGATGCAGCTAATTTCACAAGACTTCCTGAGACTTGACTTGACTCTATATCAAATATAACATCATGCTAGATTAAGCTAGAAAGGAATAAAAAAGAAAGCTGAAATTTAAGAAGCTAGAACTTTCGCTTTCCTCTGTTTTCAAACTTTTCACGCCAGTGAACTTTAAAAAAAGCCAGATTTGACGGGAAAAAAGCTGAAGCTGGTATCAAATACATACATACATACAACGTACATACATACATGCATACAACATACATACATACATATGTATATTACGCATACATATATGTATGTATGTATGTATGTACATAGCTTGTGCTAGAGCAAGGAAAAAATCGAGATGTCCGCTGTTTTGAAAGCAAAGTTTCAATACTATCGATCATATCGATATTTTTGCTTACGTTAGACAACATTTTTCGAGCTTGTCTAACAGAAATTAAATCACGGCCAGCAACAAAAATAAATATAATAAAAATAAAATAAATAAATACATCATTGTCGCATCGATAAACAACAACCAACACAACTATCGATAGCGGTGGTCAGTCGATATCGTGCTGGTGCCAGCGATAGTTGCTCCGCTCTAGCTCTAGCTTGTGCTTGTGCTCAAGCGCAGCCCGTTTAACTATTTAATATATAACGTTCGTTTCAAATGAAAGCTGAGGCCATTTAAATGTGATCTATAAAATTCAACTAGACGCTCTGATCACAAATTACGATCAAAAATACAAACTAAAATATAAAGTAAACACAAATCTAACTCTAATGCAATGCAATACGAAATGCAGAGTCGGGAAATAAATGCAGCTACTACTGCTAGTAATATCAGCTCAATATGTCTCGCTATATGTATGTACATAAGTATAGATTATCTATTAACAGACTTTCCCAATAAATTGCTAGTATCTAAGCTTGATTCTCAATAGTTTTTTTTATTTTTCAGATGTCCATCAGCGGGGCTTTAAAGTCGCTTGCAGTTGAACTGAAGGGAAGGCCAGAACAACAACAGCAACAACAACAATATCGGATCATTGCTGATCATCTTATTTAATATAAATACTTACAAGAAATACGCTTCATTCTCGCCTTTCGTATCGTTAAGCACATAACACAAAACAGAAGCAGCAGCCGGACAGCCGCCTCAACTCGCACATACATACACACATAGCCGTATATATATGTACGTGTGCATTGGTATGTATGCGCGTGCGGATCGCACACGGAATTGAGGCATTCGACGTAGTCTTCCAGTTACCGTCGCGTGGAGCTTTTGTTGAACTGTCGAAGTGAAAGCGGACGCAAACGTGGATACGAATCGGAATCTGAAACTGAAACTGACACTGAGTGTGGATGTGAATGTGGTTGGGAACGCTCCTTTACCGTTCTGCCCACCAAGATGATGTTCACCCGCGCCCAGGTGCGCAAGCAGAAGACAAACAGCGCCAGCAGCAGCCAGCGAGCGCGCAGCTCTGGCGGCTCATCGCGTCTCCAGGGTCATGATGTAAGTGCAAGGCAAACCAGTTGGAAATCCTCCAAGTAGCTAAACCGATATAGATCAAGATTCCATAACCCTATAAACACAATTTGATATAGCAATATCTCTATATCTCCAAAGTTCAACATTAATTGTAGAAAAAGAGAAGATAAGAGAAGACCAACATCCAGTAATATATCTCTTGCTCAGAATTACCGAGTATTGTACAGTCATAGATAATTAATATCATAGATATTACAATGAACTAGTTATAGTTATCTAAATTCAATGGGATTAGTGCAGAAAGATAAGTCACAAGCCCTCTCTCTGTCTAGGTAGATACCCAATTTCCCTATACCCATATCTATGAGATATAATAGTCATATTTCCAAATGTTATGAACAAATATGTAGATGTATCAAAAAGGATCTAGCTAAACCTAGAGCTTTTAGCTTACTAAAAAAAATCGTATCTTCCTTAGGAACGAGCTAGTTCCAGTTTCAGAAACACATTGATGCCATATTCAGTTAGAGTACTGGCTATCTTTCCGTCAAAGCAACCGTAAAATCGAATATAATAACTGAAGACGTAGTTGGGGTTTCATTCATAGTCAAAAGGGAAGCGAAACTTTTCGGTTGGGGAAGCATAAAAGCAATTCAAATTAGATTAAAATGAGACTCTTAATTTTATGGAAGGAGAATAAATGCAACTCCATTGAAAACTACAGGCGGGTTGATCTCGTAAGCTAAAACTGGAAAAAATTGATGCACTATTGATTGTACGGGGAGTAACGATATCTCAATTCTCTCTTTCAGTTGCGCTATAAGCCGAGCTCATCGAGCAGCAGTGGCGCCGGGAGCGGCCTTAGTGGATCCAGCGCAAGCGGCGTACGGCGTGATCGTGACCGTGAACGGGATCGTGACTGTGATGATCACTATAACAATCACTATCATTATGGCAAGCAGCATTCCTTTGAGCTACCTCGCCAGCACTCCAAAGAGGATGCATACACCCGAGACAGAGACAGAGACAGGGACAGGGACAGAGATAGAGACAGGGATAGTGGCGTCGGGGGAGGCATTGGTGGTACTGGCAGCGGTGGCTACGTAGATCGTCGCACACGACCGCGCAGCATTACGAATCGCCGAGGCGCCATCAAACACCAGAAGTAAGTACGCTGAGCGCTATCAAAACTTCAGTCTGTCGATATTGTAATACTTGCAGAACCCACGATATCAATGGCCATCGCTTTGTGGCGAAATTCTTCCGTCAGCCCACGTTCTGTGCGTTCTGCAATTTGTTTTTGTGGGGCTTTGGCAAGCAGGGCTACCAGTGCATCAGTGAGTATTCGCAGGGGGGCCGCACTTATCGTCTATCGATAATTAATCGATATACATTCGACAGTTTGCCAAACCGTTGTGCACAAGAAATGCCATGAGAAGCTGCTCGGCAAGTGTTCCGGCTCCGTCTTCAACTCCGCCAGCACAATTGTAGGTGGCCCACTCGAATCGCCTGACGAGGAAGACCCCTATTCATTAGTTTTCAATCTATGCCAATTGCAGCTGCTGCGCGAACGCTTCAAGATCGATATGCCGCACAGATTCAAGCCGCACACGTTTATGTCGCCCACATTCTGTGATCATTGCGGCTCCTTGATGGGCGGCTTCTTCATACAAGGCCTGAAGTGCGAAGGTAAGTCCAAAAGCTCCACCAAAGCCCATTTAGTCTATATAGCTTTTACGTGTGCATTGCGATTTATTGGCGCACGCCAGGTGGCGCTAAACGTGCAAGTTATGCGAAAGCTCTGGCATTAGTCAATGCAACAACCCAAAAGTTTTCTACTCTTAGCTGGGAAATTTAGCTAGCAAAATGTAACGGTCAAATGCGAAAGCTGGGAATAATGCATAATAGTGGGGTTGATGCAATGAGCTGAATAAGACGAAAACTATCAAAATTGCAAAGGAAATTCCGAATATGTATGGATTTTAGTTAATTTATAAAGCTGATGTTATTTCTAATGGAAGACTTAACACTAAGATTTTATAATTTACTCTGAAGTGTTGGGAAAGCGTAGAGCATCTAACTGAAAAATGTTTTAGCTTGCTTTTCTATAGGTCTTTAGTATGTATGTCTATCTCTAGCATTCTTCAATATCTCATAAACACACAACATCATGTGCTTATAATTCAAAATCTATTGAATAATACTGAAGAAATGATCTATAAATAATTTTGAAGATATATTATGAATATTATTAGTGAGAACCGTTAAAAATAAACCTTCATTGTACAGTACTGTATGCTAAATGAACAATTAATATAGATTTATAAATAAATCATGATGCTAGTTCCTATGACAGTAGAGATTCCTTAATGTATTTCAATATTCCCAGTAATACCAGTTGCAATGTCTTTTGCTATCAAAGCCCTTACCATTAGCCAAATATCTCATCTACTATATCAATCAATCTTACCTTACTTTGGCTCTCTAGCTAAAAGTTGTTCTCTAATTTGCCACGCAAAAACTTTGTATTAAACTTTATATTAAGACCTTCATATAGTATAATACAAAGTGTTCTATTATCTATCTATTAAAATGTAGTAAACAACAAAAGCTCTTATCATATGACGTCGCACAGTATATGAAATGTGTATGTGTATACATACATACACTAATGTGGTTTATATATAGAGTCATACATAATTAGCTCATCTTGTATTGATATACGTACATATATTTCGTACGTATTTTAAATGCCGTCGTTTGTTTTTGTGGGACTCGTTCAGCCTTGTGCAATTTTTTGTACACATTTGGTTAAATGTCTTCCTGTTGTTACAATTTCGAGAACATTTATTTTAATCGCTCAGCGTGCAAATGGCATGTTTTTACCCTACATACAAATGCATTCAATATACCTCTCTAGCTGTTACATATGACAACTTGAGTCTCTGCTATGAGTACCAAGAAAGGGAATGAAATGGACCTATATAATGGTGCTCTTTGTTACTTTTCGCCATAAATTGTGCGTGTGCGAATGTATTAAGTGGTATCTTTCAAAGCCATATTCTATAGAGTTTCATGTGGAAGATCATATGCCTTGCAAATATTAGCTTTGAGCAGTTACAAAGTGAAAAGTCGAACATAGAATGGATATTCTTATGAAACAGCAAGTCATATCATTGAGCGAATCAACGGACTTAGATATAGATGTATAGATAATGCAATATTTGTAGTATATATTATATATATTCCTTCTAGGTACAGCAATCCAGATCTTAAAAAAAAAAGTAAATCTCGATTCCAGACAAGTGATTTCTTTCACTCGCTTTCTCAAGCTCTCACCCGCACTCTATAAATATATATATATGTACATATATCTCTTTCTCTCTCTCTCTCTCTCTCTCTCTCTCTCTCTCTCTCTCTCTCTCTCTCTCTCTATCGCTGACAGTTAAGTGTTCTGTTCACTTTGTTCAGGCAGCGATTAAAATTGCACAAAATGCATAATAAAAGTTCAGGTCGAAATGAAAATATATTTAACAAAAAGAGTGCAGAAACAGAAAAATACATTACGCTTACCTATATAGACATATGTATATATGTAGATATATGTATGTATATATACCACTTATTCAGTTTTATATTTATTACATTCTGTATTTTTATGTCGCAGCGAAATGAGCGCACCGTCTCCTGATATATACCCGTCCGACTGCAATTGCATGCATGTCGAATATATAGCCGGGAAATATTTATTTTGCAGTTAAAAGAGAGAGTATGTGATGAGATGCATAAATTATCTTAACAAGCTTGCACTTGTATGGGCAATATCGTTACTGCGGATACCCTGTAAAATGCGCAACTCCAATATTATTCATATGGTGGTAATCATGTGTGATATATACATAGGAGATGCATTCTGAATCTTTTGATGATGGTTGGTTAATGATGATGCTGTAACAATATGAGATATATATGAGAAATACTACGAACGCCTTGCTATTTATCCTCTTAGCTACGGCTGTGTTGTTTCTTAAGATACCCTGTCACATAAACAAATGAAATATGATCTATGGGAATACCTTTTAGTATGTTTTACTTAAGTTGATAGGTATATGGTGGAGCTAAAACGAACTCTGAATGTTATCCTCTATATATACACTTTCTACAATGTATATAGATGCTAGAGATACCCTGTAATAGGGTCAATGGGTGGTAGATTTCAAGAGTATTCAGCATTATGTCTGACGCAGCTGTTCATACTGTAGTGCCTTTACCTACTGTACCTTAGGATTGGCTTTAGCATGACCTTGAATCCTCTCGCCTCTCTCAAATCATTGGATATGACGGAAATGCTCGTTAGGTTTAATCCCAATTAAGAAACCGATTCGCATTTCATACATATATTCGTAATATTGATGCAGACAGCCAAGACAGACGGTATTAGAAATCAATTTATTGCGCGTTTGCCAGCAACAAGCGGTGAGCCAAAGCAGCTACCAAAAATAACAGAGCGCACTGTGGCTGTGATCGACTGTGAAATACCCTTTAGCTGAGATACTTTCGGAGGTAACTGTAAGATAAAAATTTGCAAAGAAATAATTTCTGTCTTTAAGAGCCGTACGAGAGCGAAAGCTTGGTTTAGCCTAAATTACTGAAGGACTCTAAAAATTCGGGAAAAAGAAAAATACTTAAAGTGCGATAGCTACTAGTTAAGTACTATCATAAAAACTACTAAAAATAGTAGCAGAGGAATTGTATAAAATCAGAATTACCTTAAGAAGAATATATGTAGATATAGGTATAATATTTATAAAGTCATATATTGCAACAATTGAAACATTTTCCATTAAAATGTTGATTCCTTGGCTCAAAGTTTCTTACGGATGCGCAACAACATGACATGAAAGGAATGCATGCAAAGTATACAAAAATTACACAAAAATACTAAAAATACATGAATTCATACATGTGTGCTTGTGTGTGTGTGCATGTCCGCAATACAGAGACACCATAGATGCGACAAGCAAAACGTTAAAAATAATGGAAAGTCGGCCTGGCTATAAATCGCAAAGATTAAGTACTCGCCCGACGAATACCTCCTCGTACATGTTGCAGTTCTATTTCTAGTTGTTTGGCGCTACCCCTCTCTCACTCTCTCGCTCTCGCTCCCTCTCGCTCTCACCTTTGGCCGGCTATAAATGCATTTTGCGGAACCGAAAAGCGTCACCAAGCGTCGCAGCGCAGCGCGTCGTGTGGCGAAAATACCAAAAATACAAAAATGAAAAAATAAAAAAAAAATAAAACAAAATAGAAATGAAATGAAATGAAATAAAAAAAAAATACCCCTGGCATTTGGTGTTTCCTTCCCTTGGGTAAGGCGAACATATTCAAGAGCTGCGCAAAAACATTTCTGCCAGCAGGTGTACGAATCAATCAGCTTCCAAATTGAGCATTATTTACCAGCCACGATAGATATATAGACCCATGTATACTTATTATAAACCCATATAGTACATGATCTCTTACACGAATTGGCGAATATTGTTTGTTGACAACAAACATAATTGGATCTCTAATAAGATTTATTTTTAGAGTTCACTTAATATTAAAAAAAAAAACGAGAAGAGAAACAAGAAATGTTCAGTTTGGGCATCTGCACAGCGTTCATTGGGCCGCGGCTCACACGTGCCAGATAAGTGTCAAAATATTTGCTTAATGGCCAAAGAAATATTTATAATTCATATATTTCTGCTAAACCGAAATCATCTGCAAAATCATCTGCAAAATTGCTTTGCGTACTAAATAAAAAAAAAAATGAAATAAAAAATATGAAATTAAAAATAAAAATGTTTAAAAAAACGTTGCGAATACCAAACAGATAAACGCTGAACAGCTGTGAGCCATCCTTACTCATCTGTTGAGTTCTCGGGTGAAGTCTGCTTTTATACTCATTCACGCAAGTCTAAGGAGGGTATATTGGTTTCGTGCAATGTTCGTCTAACCATTTGGAACATTGGAATGTATACTCGTTATAATGCAATCCGATTTGCCCTCTAAGGGCGTGGCAATCGGAAAAATGCATTTTCCAGTAACTAAGATCCATGGCAGCACTGCTAAAGCATTGACATTTGGTATATATACTCGGACTAACAGCCCAACATCAATTAGATATCTCCCACCATTTGTGGAAAATCAGATAAAACTGTTTTTTGTACAGCCTTAGAGCTAGCAGCTAAATATTGACCGATTAATTACTGTTGTTATCCTCTATTGAATGACACAAGAATAATATTTTTAGCTACCAGTTGAGGGCGCGGCAAATCGTGAAATGAAGCCGACTGAAGTTTATGCTATGAATGAGTATTCTGCAGTTGGTAACGCCCGACGGCAACATTCTCACTTGCTTCACTTATTTTTTTAGCAGCATTAGAAATACATTTTTGAATTATTATAAATAGAAAAAAAAAACACAGTTTTTATGACAAACTCGTTAAAAATAACCAGAGTTCTAAATAGATTTAAATCATGTTTTTAGAAGACGTGAGCTTATAGCAACCTGATTGTACGATTTTGGGACTCTAGCTTTTATTGTATGGCTTCAAATCAATATAAGGGAATGTTAATAGGAAGAGAAAGAATATTTATTTATCTTGTCTTTTATTCTATTTTATTATCTCTACACTCCACTTGAGCTCTCTCTTTCTCCCTCTCTCTTTCTCTCTCTCTCTCTCTCTCTCTTTGGTGTATCCATTAAGAAATGCCAATCCATACTGACCAATTGAATGGATTAAGTTGTCAACCTTTAATAAAAACAATATACTCCATATAGAAGATTAATATACGGAACCAAAGACAATGGTGTCAATTGGAATATATGTGCTATAAGTATGGTACAAGTATCGATACATGCTTAGCTATCGTTTATTCCACTCAACTTATCCCAGATGTTTTATCTCTCTTCTATGAAATGGCAAAACAAATTATATTGTAATGGAATCTTTCATCTTGTGCTTCCCTTAGAAAGATCATTAATTTTTATAGCGAATTCCATTTGAGCCAATTAGCTTTGATCAAAATTTCTGTCATTCGGTGCGCTTGGGGTGGGGCAGGGGCCAGAGGCAGCACATCGCACATCGTTTTTATTAGCTATTTGATTGTGTTAGATAATAAAGTTACGTTTCTCAAATATTTCCACACGTTCATAAATATAATTTTGAAACGATTAAGACGACAGACAGTGCAAAACCAGAGATCGTTGCTCTTGTCGAAAAGTCTGCTCAGATGATTGCCTTTCATAATTCGCTCAGCAATGCATACTCTCCCTCTCTCTCTTTCTGGCTGTTGCTCTCTTGCTCTCTCTCTCTCCCTCTCTCTTGCTCTGTCAGCTGCTTTAGCTTTTACTTTCGCTAAAAACAAAGAAAGATGTCGAATGACGCGGCAGCGTATGCCAAAACGATTTCAAAACTCAATTTTGATGTTTTTCGAAATTCGAACAAAATAAAACAGTTCTCGCGGACATTTAATTTATGACTGTGTGTGTGAGTGTGTTTGAGTGTGTGGCATATTTCGAAATCGGCAGCAAGAATATATAGAACTTTGACTGAGAGCAATTTTTCGAAGAACAGGCAAACACAACACCGCACCGCCCCGCACCGCCCCTTCCCCGGTCCACCTGCCTGCTGTTGGTCTGGGCCAACTCAACACGCACACAGCAGCAACATGTACGAGGCACGGCAGCAACATCTACAGCAGCATCAATAATATCGAAGTTAGCCCCAGTCTCTGCACAAACTTGGCTGCTCTCTTGCTCTGCCTTGACTGTGTGTGTGTGTGTGTGAGATCAGGAACAGCTCCAATGCTTGAACATTTTTGCGGTGTCTTTTCACATTTCAGTAGTTTCCGTTAATGCGTTCGGCTCGTTGAAAAGTGTCTGTACTTGGGATTTGCCTCTTTTCATTTTTCATTATTTCTTCTTTTTTTTTTTTTTGTTCGTTCGATTTTACGCTTCGGTTTACGACGGGCCGGTCCTGCAACCAATTGCAAAGTTAATCAGAAAAGCAATCAAACAATATCAGAACTGTCAACGGGAGAAAATAAAACTACGGCAAATCAACCAACCAAAGTAAAAGACATTCTCAGTTGAGACAGAGGTTAGCAACGTCAAAGGCGACGACAACAACATTGACGGCGACGACTCGTGAGCTTACGTCATACAAATTTATATACTAGATGGAACATAGTCTATTTCTATATGCCGCATGTGGTCGGAGCTAATATACATATTTATCCGTTCGCATCATTCTTTTTCTTTTTTTGTGAACTGAATACGTTGGCCCGCCCCTCGAACGTAATTGCAAAGAAAAGTCTAGAAGAAACTTCAGTCTAAGACTTTCACTTAAAGCTTTACTTCAATGTGAACTTTTGGGCTTAAAAATATAGCTATATATATAAAGAATTCGAATTCAGCATTTATGCTCCATATCGCTTTCTACTCAGTCTCAGTAGACGCTCCTAAAGATCTGTTTGATTGAAAGTCTCTCTTGCATCAATAACGAGCTCTATCAGTTCCTAGCATTTATTCTAATCAAAGCTCATTAAAGCTTTAGCTTCTTTTCAAGCTAGGTTAAACCTCTTCACATCTGAGTACATCCACAATTTCAATTTCAATCACAATAGATATCTGATTCAATTTCAATTCTTTATCAGATTTACAATGAGCCAAAAGCATGATAGAGAAATGTAACTTATATTGAATTGAATACATTTCGATTGACATGCTCAATTTCAATTTTATTTTTGTCAATTCAATGTTAAACAATTCACATTTGCCATTTCGATTTCAGCTTCAATTTGAAGAAGTTTAAACAACCTTCAGTTGAACTAAAACACACATATTTCAATTCATGACTTGATTTTCAATTTCAATTCAAATTCGTATGACTAAAGAAGATTTAAACTCGATTGTTCAATTTGATTATCCTGTGCAATTTCAATTGACAATAGGACCTTCAAATAGACAAAAACATATTTCAATATCATTTTCATTCCAAGTGTCCAATGTCAGTTCGATTTGACTTTCAATGAGACTTAATTCTATTTTAATACAATTTATTTTGAATTTTCCAATTTCAATTCAAACCTTCAACGGATGTATTTCAATTTTAATAAGTTGTCATTTCAATAAACCTGTTCAATTTCAATTAACAATTAGTCCTTCAATCACATCAGCCCAACAATTGTTGGCAGAAATGCGACAAGAATTCGCGATCTAAAAATATTGTAATATTCAAAAAATGCATATATATGTTTATATATCTATCTGAATACTCAAAACTCATGCAAGCGTTAAGCTGTAAACATTTTCAAAGCCAATTTCGAATTGAAAAATTATAGAAATGGCAGTCAGAATATTGACAAAATTTTACATTGAATGGAAAAAGCTTCAAGAAAAGGTGAACACAGTGCAGGTTATATAAATATAGACGCTTCCTTCTCTAGTTTAAACGATACGAGAACTAACGCCAAAAACCGACAAAACAATTGCAACGAAACAAAGTTAAAGAAAATTGTGAAAAATTCAAGAATTTTTGTTAAGTGTTTATTGAGTGCAAAAGAGTGAGAGTGAGAGAGAGAGAGAAAATGCCGCTCTATTCGGATTCAAGCAACTATTACTACAGCGGCGGCAGCAGCCAGCTGTACTCGCCCTACTACAGCTCGAGCTTGGGCAGCAGCAGCAGCACCACCAGTCCCAGCTACACCTCCAGCTACAATCGCGCCTATCCGGGCAGCTATATGGTGCCGCTGCTGCCCTCGCCGCGCTCGCCCAGCTACAGCAGCAGCAGCAGCAGCGGCATCGGCATCGGCATCGGCAGCAGCGGCAACAGCAGCAGCAGCATCCTGGGCCTATCCTCGCGCTATCAGCCCAAGCTGACTACGATCACGGAGAGCTCCGGGCTGACGGGTCGCCACAGCGGACACAGCAGCCTCATGCCACTGACGCGCATCCAGTCGCCCAAGTACACATCCGTCTCCAGCTACGGCAGCAGCAGCAACAGCAGCAGCAGTCGCTATATACCGCCGCGACCCATCGCCATCAATACGGCGGACATAGACGTGAGCTCGGCGAGGTATAGGCGCTCGGCTGAGCCTGTGGATTGCAAGCGCGAGCCGGAAGCCAACAAAGAACAGGCCAAGGAAGAGCCAAAGGAACAGCAACAACAAGAGCAACAGCAGCAACCAGAGCCACAGCAGCAGCAGCAGCAGCCCCGCCGATCCACCATACGCCGCAATCGAGCTGTGGTGCGTCTCTCCACCATACGCCGGCGCAGCAAGGAGCGCGTGGAGCAGGCGACGGCGTCCAGCGAGAAGCAGCAACAGCAGGAGCAGGAGCATCAGTTCCGAGATCTGCCGCCGCCGGCGGAGCCCAGCTTGAGCTGGCGCCAGAAGCTGGCCGAAGAGCTGGCCGCCTTTCCCACGATCAGCAACAAGAAGTCGCCGGGTGAGCTGCTGCGCGAGCGTTTCTACATACGCGACGAGAAGCAGGAGACGTTGGCGCCGCGGCATCAGCAGCGTCAGCAGCAGCAACAGCTGCAGCTGCAGCAGCCGACGCAGGCAACGCTGCAGACGGCGGAGGCCAGCAGCGGAAACGAGTCCGAGCTGGAGCAGCAAACGGCAGAGGAGGAGCCGCAGCAGGAGAAGGCGGCACAGATAACCGAGTCCATACGCCGGCTGAGCCTAGTGCAGTGCCCGACCTTTCACGACATCTGCGAGGACATCTCCTCCGACAAGATCGACGACGATCTGAATGCAGGCGAGCTGCGACGACGCGCCTCCATCATACAGGAGCAGGAGCAGGAGCTGCTCAACAAGCTGCAAAAATCGAATTCGGGCAGCTTCCAGCTGATACACCTGGAGCGCCGCAGCAGCCACGACAGCACCACAGCGGACGAGGGCCAAGCCTCTGCTGCTGCCCCCGGCGGCACCAAGCAGACCGCCAAGAAGAAGAGCAAAAAACTGCGACACAAGATCACAGCCGTGGTGGCCGTCGATAACGCGGTGCTGCCGGTCCAGCACATGCCCAGCGTCCAGGAGCTGGAGGAACAGCCACCCCAAGTCAGCAGCCCCAAGCCCAAATTTACGGCCAATGTGGAGACCATGGAGGAGCATCACCAGATACACAAGATATTCAAGCTGCCCAAGAAAAAGTCGCCGGTTGAAGAGAGGCAACAGTCGCTGCCCGAGGGCTTCATGAAAGCCTCGCCCAAGGCCAAGACATCGCCGCTCAAAAAGGCTGCAAAGCCAATGGAGCAGCAGCAGGAGCCGGAGAAGCAACAGCAACATGTGAGTGTTGCTCAGATATTTACCTTCGATGAGGCCGCCATTCAGCAGAATCGAGCAACAGCAACGCCCACAGTCGTTGCCACGCCCACGGTCGCGACCACGCCTGTTAAGACAGAGGGCGTTGCCACGCCCAAGCCCATACGCAAGGCCTTGCAGAAGTCGGAGAGCGGCGAAGATTTCTGGTCACAGATCGGCTCACGGGAGACGCTCTACATGACCAATCGCCGGAAGGCGCAGAGCGAGCGTCAGCTGGAGGCGACCCCAGAAGGAGCCGAGCCCAAAGACGAGCTAGCAACAACAGCAGCAGCAACAGCAACAGCAGCAGCAACAGCAGCAGCAGCAGCAACACCTACAACACCGCTGCTCAGATCCGAAATTTTGATTGAGCTAAAGCCAGCAACATCAACAGTTGCTGCTACTGCAACCAAGCAGCCAGCAGCAACAGCAGCAAAGACAACAACAACAGCAGCAAAGACAACAACAACAGCAGCAGCAAAGACAACAACAGCTGCTAAGGCAGCAACTAAAACTGAAACAACAACAGACTCACCAAAGTCTACGCCAGCAACACCCAAGCTAGCAGCAACACCAAAATCAACAATAACAACCGCAGCAGCAACGGCAATAACAACAACTGCTGCTGCTGCTGCCGCAGGCTCACCAAAATCAACACCAGCAACACCCAAAGCAGCAGCAGCAACAACAACGAAAACAACAACAGTTGCAGCTGCAATCAGCTCGCCAAAGTCCACGCCAGCAACACCAACTGCAACTAAAACTGAAGCAACAGCAGCAACAATTGCAGCTGCAATCAGCTCGCCCAAGTCAACGCCAGCAACACCTAAGCTGGCAAACACAACAACAACAATTGCAGCAAGCGACAGCAATAAAGCAGACGCAGCAGCAACAAGTTCACCAAAATCAAAGCCAGCAACAACAAAGCTAGCAACAGCAAAGACAGCGGCAATAGCTGGTGCCAAAGCCGAAGTAGACAAGCCAGCAGCAACAGTTGCTGCTGCAGGAAAACAGTCTGGCAACGCCGCAGACAGTGCTGTTGCCATGACAACAGCATCAACAGCAAACGCACAGACAACAACAGCAACAACGACAACAACAACAACAGCAGCAGCTCTAGGCAAATCAAAACTGAACGAAACGGCGACGGCAGCAACAATAGCAAAAACAACGGCAGCAACAGCGACAACAGCGCCAAAAATAAATGCCGGGCAAGCAGCCAAGTCACCTGAACAACAACAGCAGGCAACAGCAACAGCAGCATCGACGGCAGCGGCGGCAGCGCCAGCGGCAACAGCAACGAAAATAAATAAAACGCATAATAATGAGCGACAGCAGCAGCAACCACCAGACAACGCAACAGCAGCCGCAGCAGCAGCAGCAACAACAATTGCAACTGCAGGGAAACAACAAACGGAAACCAAATCGAAATTGACGGAAATTGTTGAGCCAAAGTCAAAGGTGCAATCACCGAAAGCGACAAAGCCAAAAACTGCTGCAACAGCAGCCAAAAAGAAAGTCGCAGCTACTCCCACAGCAGCAGCAGCACCGACAGCACCAACAGCAGCAGCAGCGTCGGCAGCAACAACTTTGCCAGACAGCAATGTGACCCCAATCAATGCCGATCAATTTATAACGCTGGCCCCCACTAAGGCGGCCAATGCGGCGGCAGCGGCCACAAATGCGTCATCGCCTGCAGCAGCAACAGCAACAGCAGCAATTGCAACCGCAGCAACAGCAACGCCTACAACAACAGAAGCGGCAACAGCAACATTAACATCAACAGCAGCAATAACAATAGCAACAACTGGCGATGAGCAAACGTCGCAGTTACGAGCTGTTGCTGCTGCTACGACAGCAGCGGCGGCGGCTGCTGCTGCTGCTGCTGATGCTGCTGCTGCTGTTGTCGACAGCAGCAACAACAGCTGCGGCGAAGGCGTCGGCAATAATTTATCAAAGTTTGCAACAGTATCGAATTTGGCACAGTGTCTGCGAGACGTGGACGCCGAGCTAGAGGACTATATACCGTCGTCGGCGGAAAGCAGCGAAGAGAGCGACACAGACAGCTCGGACGATTTGTCCAGCGCGAATTTGAGTGCCAGCATGAAGAAGAAACAGCGCAAGGAGAAGAAGAAACAGAAGGGCAAGGAGGCGGCGCCCGCCCGCTTCGATCCGCAGAAGAAAATCAAAATCGATACGAGCAGCAAGTGCTATGTGAAGGAGGAGGCGCCACGATATCCGCTCGTCGCCACACCACGTCCGCTGTGGAAGCGCGAGAAGATCGTCTACTCGGATGAGAATACGGACGACGAGAGCAGCGAGGAGGGCAGCGAGGCGACCGGCGGCTCACTGGACGAGGAGAGCGACGAGGATGACAGCGATGCCTGCAGCAGCAGCAGCAGCGGCAGCTCCTCCGACTTTGACGAGGAGGCGGCCAGAGCAACTGAGAAACGAAACACAAATGCCCCAGCATCCAATATGAATAATACTAATGCTTCGACGCCAGCGAGCAGCTCGACCACAGCGCCGGGCAGCCCCTCCGTCTCCAGCTCCCCATCGATCATCCGGATGAGCACGTGCAGCAACGATTCCGGCTTCGAGGGCGGCACGGCGCCGTCCAGCCCCAAAAAGATGTTAGGTAAGCGATCGAGCGAATATCACTTCGACTGAGACGGCATTCATCGCAGCTGACACGACCCGGACAGACAGACGCCCGGCAGTGTTGGCCACTTGAGTGTCGAGCTGCACGTGCACAGCTGCCACTGCCAGTGCACCACCCACCAGCAAACCACCCGAATCCCAAATCACCCATAGACATTACTATGCCCCCCCCACGGCTGCTGTTGCTTCTTAGAGCTTGTTGTGCATGCAATTTGCTTTCATTTTCACAAAGAGCGTGAGAGCGAGCGAGAGAGCGAGTGGGAGAGCGAGTGGGAGAGTGCGAGAGAGCTTGGCATGCGGAATATTTAGTTGAAAAACAAATAAACATGCTATAAATCTGTGTGGCTGCGTATATACACAAATGCCTTTAATATGGCCACAATATACTATACACTTGTACAGAGACAAATACATACATATACATATATATACACACATATGTACATATGTATAAACGAATAAGAAAACAACGAAAGTTGCAAAACAAACTTTGCTCTGCTGACTCTTAGCACACTCTGAAACAGTCAGCGCCAAAAGGAAGTCAAAGTCAAAGTTCTAGGGAAAACCAAATACAATTGCTGTGCTAAGACCTGGTTCCAGCTAATTTGATATAAGTACTACCTAAGTGCTATATATGTACATGTATATGTATATATTGCATTCATGTATACATACATATCTATCTGCTCCCATACATAGTTGACAGATATCGATTTTTCTGACAGAGAATTTTATTTTTAAAGATTTTCCTAGAAATATTATCCAGATATTGTCAATTGAGCTTACGTTTCGAGTGTATTCTGTATAGCCATTTATGTTTTACTAAAGAGCTACAACTGAAAACTATCTGATGCTTGACTATAATGTGCTTTAAAGCAGTCTCAGCGCATCATAACCCAATTGAACTTTACATTTTAGAGCTTCATCTACTCGACAACTAAGTAGACTATACATCTGATTGGCTGCCTAAACAGAAGAAGTAGGCTGAGGAGGCAAAGAGTAATAAACAGCTTTAGGGTTTCATAATTCTTAAGTAAAATCTCATAGCCAAGTCTATGCGACAAGCTAAAGATCTTACCTGAAAACCCTTTGAGTCAAACTATAGAGCTTGCCTGAAAGATCTGGTTCTATAATCAACTCATCTCGGACTGCCTTATTAGCAGGAGGCATTCTGACCAGTCTAGCGTGAGTTTCTATAGCCAAGCCAGACAGCCTATAGACCTTACCTAAAGGATCTGGTGCTATAATCATCTCATCCATATAAGATATCAGCTTAAGCGCTGATTAGGCTAACTGAAATCTAATTGGATTATGAGATTGAGTAGCTGGACAACCAGCAGGAGTCGAAGGAGCACTACGCGTAAGAGGTCCAAAGCTAACTAATCTTGTGCAATAGGATTAGATATGATAAATCTCATAGTCTCTTTGAGACTGCGCTCAAAAGGCAAGGAGTTGGCTAGCAGTCTCCTGCATATTATCGTTACTCCCTGCCCTCGCAGTCTCCTGCATAACATGATTTACATACTATGATTTCATCTTATTATGAAACCTAATAACATAGCTAGTTAACATTCTGTTAACTGTTGGCTCTCCAAAGATGCCCAACATATAAATATTTATATAATTTGGTTGAATCAGTTCGTTACTCAGTAGCAAACAATTCTATTGAGAATTCGCTAGCACAATGTGGAACTAGAGAGCGAACAACTAATAGATGCAGCCACAGCCACAGCTACAGAGATAGAGATAGAGATATGGCTACAAAGATACCAAGAGATAGACAATTTGGCAAAATTTACTTTTAGCAAATTGTATACAAAATTGTTTAGGTCATCGTCGTGTTCCGTCGTCGTCGTCGTCGTCGTCGTTTTTTCTTTTTCTTGGGATTTGTCGTTGTCTTTCATCTTATGTTGTTTTTTCTCTGTTTTTTTCTCAAGTTAACGAGAAACTGAATTCTCATGCAGGGAAAACACAAGAAAACATTTGAAATATGCTCGAACATTTCGTTCAGTAAATGCAACAATTACCGAAAGCAAAAGTTTCATAAAAATTTGAAATAAATGCGAAGCATGTAAACAAAGACTTTCCAAATATTTGCAAGACCAAATTCAAATATCCATTATATCTATAAGTATGTTAACCATATAGCTATAGATATCGAAAGTGTGAAAAGAATACGCATTTGGCCATGTCGAGGACCCGCCTCAGCCTCTGAATACCCTGCAAAGAGAAGGAAATACATACTCATGGAGTACTATATAAGAAAGTGAAATGGGGAATTTGTTTCCTACGTTGCCTATGCCTTTTCATTTCCTTAATCATCTTTCACATAGTTCCCATTGCTTTCTGGTTCAAAATTACTTTGAGTTCAAAAAGCTGTTAAAAAAAGAAGTTAAGAAAATTATCAGTATTCAAGATGATCCGTTGCGCTTTAACTACACGAATTCTCTTCAATGTTGTGGTCAAGTTCAATAATCAATTTAGAACAAGTTGAGTATTCTTCTATCATATGTAGCTGACCTAGCAGGCAATCAGCTGTTGGAGTCTCTCTCTTTTTTTTCTTTCGCACGTACGTAACACGCTGCGTATGCGTGATATTTGCATAGAATCATCGTCTCTTGCGTTGATTCGTTTACAATTTCATGTGATTGCATGCAAATATTTGCAAATATTTGTTGTTTATTAAATGAACATTAAGCAAGCACACAACACACACACACATACACACACTCACGCACACACACACACACACACCCTTTGGGTTGAAGCCAAAACGGATGTGCGTTTGATTTCAAATGCGATTCGAATGCTCTCGCGTGTGTGTGTGTGTTTGTGTGTATTTCCTTTTAATAGAGTTTACAATTTGTATATTCAATATCTATTGTTGCTTACGCTTAGCTGTTTTTTAATTGCTGCCCAAGCATTTCATAAAAACAAAGCCAAGTGCCTCAGGTGTTGATCAAAGGTAAAATAAATTTGCTTTAGCCAGAAACGTGCAGCCAATAAATCGCAATACAAAACAGCTCAATATAAGCATATAAATATATATATATATATACACATATATACATACATATATATGTATATGTATATATGTATGTATATTTATATATATATTCTATTCATCTACATGGTCGCAATTTATAATCATATTAATAACGATTTGTTTTAATTAATCTCAACATTTGCCCTGTCCATGCTGCCAAAAAATCAAAAATCGAAAAAAAATACGCAAAATGAAAACTGAAATGAAATCGAAATACTCAAAAAAAAATATATATATATAATAAAAAAGAATGTGACGTGAATTGTCACAAGAAATGCGAACGGCTCACGGCCAATTTATGCGGCGTCAATCAGAAGCTCATCGTCGAGGCGCTCAATCACGTAAAGCGAGGTAAAAAAAAAAAAATCAAACAACAACAATACCAACAAGAACAACAACAACAGGAAGAAAATCACATCAAACATTCCATAAATAATAAACAATTAAGGAAGCTCCTAGCTGCGCCAGGTCGAAGTTCGAATACCCTTTTGCAAAGAATTCAATAGACGTCGTATAATTGGAATAGATATGTAGCTAGTTATATATCCAGAAGAATCCATAAATATATCTTCAGTTTCCATTCCAATCAGAAACAAAATTAGAATCAGATTTTCGAAATTCAAATTTGATTAATGTTAACAAATTAGTTTTTCAGCTCGAACAAGATGCGCCCCATGACAAGTCCCATGTCAACTGTATACCTTATACATGTCAATGATATATTAGCTTTATATAGTTCATAGTCACATAGTTAGGCTGAGGAATGGTTTCCTCCGAGACAATTTCTGCATTTCCATTCAATTCCTCTGGCAAGCTTATATATATAATTTCCATTCAGTCCGATCGAATGCTGGAAGGGAAATATAAATTATACTTGGTTATATCCATATAGATATATGTATATGTCTATTAATTTCCCAGAATTGAAATGCCTTCAACAAGAGTATAAAGACGCCGTTTCGTATCGGAAGCGAGACGCGCCTCAGTCAGATGGGGGCGCGTGTGTTTCAAAGCAAACTGAAAGCGACAAGGAAAAAAAACAACAAATCTAGAGAAAATTTAAATGAAAATGAAAATGTAAAGGAAAATATTAAAAGATAAATCCATAAATAATGGCGCCTAAATATGGCTGACATTACGATTTCATAACTGTCATGGTGTGCGCGTGTGTGTGAAAGTTCAATAGATAAATTTACAAATAGAAGATATAGCACATATGGATAATAGGCGCCTTTGGGTATATATAATATTAGTGATAGATACATGGAAAGATACATGGTTAGAGTGATTGATATAGATAGATTGAGATACATATATAGATACATAGATACATAGATACATAGATACATAGATACATAGATACATA